CCCAAGCAGAAAGCCAAGGAGCCTGCGAATCATGTCTGTGCTCGTGGATTGATATCATGGTGGCTGGGTCAGGGCAGGGGAACCTGCCGAGATGACTGAAGTCGAGTGTTTCTCAATAAGCCCAGTTGTATCTGGGAAGTGAGAAGGCAATGAATCAACCAGAATAGAAAGAAACAAAGGCGAAGAGGAAGCAAACAAACAAATACATCAATTTAAAAGCAGCGAGCTGCCCCAAGGGGATGGCAGCGGAACAGGACTCTAGCGAGAGCCTCTGCCCCATCCTCTTCCAGGGAGCGAGTGATGGTGCTGTCAAGGCTAAGAGCAGCAATTCGGGGTGGTTGTCGGGAAATGGGGAAAAAGGTCTGCAAATGAGACCAAAAACAAGAAGCTTTTGGGTCATCTGTGCGGGGGTGTTTGCAGTTGCTATTGCAGATGCTGTGATCTTGGCTCCAGCATCCCTTTGATCAGCAGTAGCTTTGGTTGTCTTTTACATCCCTGACCTCTCCTTTCCTTTCAAATACCTCAGAAATTTTTATACTTGCATGCTTGAAAGTACGTCCACCACCTTCTATCTGTCGGCCTAATCCTTTACTAGCTTTCTAGCTAAATGCTTTTCTCAGGGGACAAATAACACCAGCACTTCTTCCAAAGTGGCATTCAGTTGAAGATTCAAGACATAGGTCATGAGGAGTAATTACAAATAAAAAAATAGGCGCTTGTGGCACCTATTAACAGAGCAGAACAAACAGCTCCTGATGTTAGGGAGAGGTCATGCTCCTTTCATATAAATAACAGTATATATGACTGCAAATGAAGCCAGTCTTGGCTTCCTCCCTGGTCTTCCTCCCTCTCTGAATTTCTTCAAACTGAGAAGAGCACAGGAATTACAATCCAAGACTAAGGCATTCAACCTAGCAGTTCTGTAGCAGTTTGGCATTTCTCTTCCAGCTGAAGTTCTGCAAAGGCAAGGGCAGGGTCCTGCCCCTAGGGCGGAATAACCCCAGGCACCAGGGCAGGCTGGGACTTGAGCATCTGGAGAACAGCTCAGCAGAGAAGGACCAGGGTGTCCTGGTGGACAATGAGGTGACTGAGATCCAGGAAGGGTCCTTGTGGCCAAGAAGGCCAGTGGTGTCCGGGGGTGAGGCCACATCTGGAGTGCTGTGTCCTGTGCTTGCTTCAATCCATACCAGTTCAGAAAGTCATGACTGTGATTTTTACCCTGGTTGTGCAATTATTGGGGACAGTCCTACCCAGCTGAGGCAATCATGGACGGCTGTGGGGTTTGTGTAAGGAGCTCTGGCTCTGCAGGTGTAGACAGCATCTATGCACATGCCCACACACACTCACACATGCACACAGAGAAGTGAGCTAGAAAGAGAGGCAGATACAGCGGTATATCCTTTTATTTCCCCAGATGATAAGAATAAAAGCTCTATATTATCTGTGCCGAGATTAATCTGTAACAGTTTTTCTCAGGGAAACGCAGGTGGACCAGCCAACAAGATACCACTTAGTCTCTTGGTATGTGCCTTTGCAAAGATTTTATATATAGGCCATTTAGGCACACGGTTTATTGTGAAAAAAAAATCTCAGCAGCTGCCTAAATCCTACCAAAAGTGTGTGCCTTTCTCCCCCTCTGCATCTGTAGGCTGGGTTGGAAAGCTAGCCCAGTGCTAGCTGAGATGAAGATGTTGAGGCTCTCCACTATTACAGCAGCGGGGCAAGGAAGTGAATGAGTATTGAGCTGTGCGTAGACATCCATCATCACCGCTCTAAAGTCGATTAGCAACTCTCTTCTCCGTCTGGTGAGCAGAGGAAGCAGGGAGGGAGCCAGCAGTGACATGTACTCGGCTAGATGTCCAAGAACTGAGCGCTTCCTCAAGCACTAATGTTTTCTTTATGAGGCCTTCATTTCTTTAAGAGTTTAATTTATATATATATATATATTTTGCCCTTAATGAAAATTTGAAAGAAATCCCACAATGTTCCCATTTCTAAGAGATTTGTTGGTGCCGTGGCTGCTGCTGTTGGAACCCGCACTGAAAGGAGATGAAGGTCCGTGTCCGTCAAGCGAGGCGCGTGGGGCCGGGGCTCAGCTTGGGTGGTGTGGCGAGCCCAGGGCTGCTGCAGGGAGGGTGGCTTGGCCAGGGGGCGACCGGGTGGTGGGACCCACCAGGAGCTGCTGCCGACCGCTCGGCCCCATCTGCCCACGGAGGCACCCTCAGACCCGCAAGAGGTATCGGACTATTTTGGCTCTGAAATGAGAGGCTGCAAACTTTCGCAAGGACGACTTTGGCCTTGAGGGAGCTACAAAAAGAAAAAGGACGTGAGCATTACACGTGGTCAAGAAATACTGTCTCCCTCTTCCCCGCAGCAAGAGATGCAGGCGGACAACCACTGCGTTGCCTTTTGCACGTGCAGTGCAGGGAGGTGACACCTGGTCTCCCTTAGTACAGGAGTGAATCCCTGAGCACTTGGGTGCTTGAAGACACCAGCTAACACCTCTGCCTCTGCCAGCATGCAGCTGTAGCATGGGGACTTTGCCTTGCATGGGTTTTATCTGCGTTCTGAGGCACAGAATAGCAAGGAAATTCAGCATTTGCGCTCAAGTGGGATCCATAATCCCAGACCCATCAGTTGAGTTCAAAGTGTAATTCCTTTGAAAGGCCCCAGCATGACTGAGCACCCTGATACATGCCCAGCTAGACCAGAGAGGGCTTTGCACTATGGAGCCATTGCTCCTTCCCGTTCCTACCATGTCACAGACCTATTCTCCTAGGAGCTCGAGCGGGGACATTGTAGTGGCTCCTGGGCAGCCAGGACCTGAAGCTGCTTTCAGTGCGTGAAGGCTCCACCTGCATTCCCATGGTAACATGGCTATAGAAAGGCACAATGTGGACCGCTTAGATGAGGTAGTATATAATGCTAAAACAGGTGGAGCTAATGGAGAGCTTCATCTTAAGGTACTGTCCTTAATCCCTGAGCTATTGACGTGAATTAATGAGCGTTGCTTATGTGCTTGCTCCTGGGACCCAGGTTGGGGGGAGTGTTTTTCCCCCTTTCACAGGGCTTTTTGGGAGCATCAACACCCCTCTTGGCAACACGTCCAGCTAGGGCCCCCATGTCCCCTACCCCAAGGACATGCAAGCTCAGAGGTGGATGGAAAGTCCTGGCAAGCACCTTTTAGCCCCATAAAAACCCACGGAGCAAAGACGGTGGTGCCGGCAGCAGAGACTGCAGGGGGAGCTTTGCTATAACGCCCCATTGGGTGTCGGGGCTGCCCGCGGGCTCCTTCGTGGGGGCGATGCCGTGCCCATCCTCAAGCAGGATAGGAGCAGCCGGCGTCGGCATCCGCGTCCTCTTCAGCGCAAGCAGCCAGGGAAGCGGCGCAGCCCAAGCGGGAAGCAAGCGGCAGCCGGGGCGCCGGGCTCAGCGCCCCCGAACGCGCCCGAGCCGCAGCCGCGCAAGCGGGTGCCCAGCGGCAGCGGCGCCGCGCTCGCCTGCAGCCAAGTTGCGTGGCCTGGGTGTGATTTTTCAGCCCTGCCCTCCGGCTCGCTGGGTAAAGGAGCGGGAGGCAGCGGTGCTGCTGGAAACACACGGCAATTTATGGGACGGGGCGCTGGGCACTGCCCCAAGCGCCGCAGGCCCCAGCTCCACAACGCGGGCTCTGCCCAGCACTAGCCTCACATGCCCCTTCCCGCCTTTGGGGAGGGAAAGCCAAGGTTGGGACCCCCCCACCCCCCCCAAGCCCGCCAGCCTCCCCGGCCCCGCTGCCGCCTCCATGGGGAGGGCGGGGGGGACCGCTCCGAGGAAAAGATTTAAAAATGCCTTTGAATGCCTTTTCACTTCTTTTTATTTAATTCCATAAATATTTTTCATAAGGCTCAGTGTCTTTACAACACTTTTTTTTAAACACTTTTTTTTGTTCTGTTTTGTTTTATACACACAACTTTGACACTTGTTTGACAGGGTCAAACAGTCCAATATAAACAAAATAATAAAACTGGCAAGTGCGGATCAGCTGGGTTACCAAAATCTTTTTTTTTTTTTTTTTTTTTTTTTTTTTTTCTCTTACTGTTAAAACCCCAAAAGCACTAAAATATCAGTATTTGGCTTCAAACTAGAATTTTAAAAACCTCTTTTTTTTTCTTTTTTTTTTTTTTTTTAATTTCTCTGCTACAAGTCCCTGTCATCATAGTGCCTTTAAGCTCCTACAGACTCTTCTTTTCTTCTCAAGGAAAAATAAGCTTGGTGATGCCATGCAGAACTTACAATAGCTACTAAATATACATGTTCCCTGAAATGTAGCTGCAATGAAAAGATGACAGAGCATAAAGAGAACAAAACCAGAAACCCAAAGCACCACAGTGTACTATCAATAACATTGCAAGGGATGGCGAGTGACCATCCAGAAACTGAAACAAAATTGCAAATATATTTTTTTTTTCTATGTATTATTCTCTATTTACAGCTGTTGGATGCACCTAGGTTGGTTCTCGTCTGAGCTTTGTTTTTGGAGAGGGTGGGGAGGCGAAAGTCTTGAATTTGGATCCTCTGTTCTAGTGTTTAGGTCAAGGGGTGATGCAAGTCATTTACCTAGGGAAGAGGGTTGGTTTGTTTTTTTAAATTACTCTTATTCTTTTATATATATATTTATATATATATATATAGTTTCAGCCAGAGAAATCCCATACACATTTGTCACAACTGCCTCGTTTGCTGCGTAGGGCGTGATGGTGGGTGGGTTCCTCCCGCCTGGCATCGAAAGCCAAGTCTGCGCCAGGCAAAGCCAGGCCTCCGCCTGCGGCCGGAGCGCCGGAGCCCGCGCGCCCGCCCGGCCCCATCCCCAGCGCGGCACACGCGGCGCCCGGCGCTGGGTCTTCATCGCGGCAACGCGCCATCTCCGGCAGCAGCGCGGCAATTTTATGGAGCGGGGGGGGAAAGAGCTTCCTTGAAAGTCCTGCCTGAGAGCCAAGCCCCCTCTTTTCCTCTGGAGCAAACGCCCGCACGTGCCTGGCCAGCCGCCCGGCTGGGGCACGGGCTGGCAGCAGCGCTATGTGGTCTGGCTTGCCGCTTAAGAAAGGAGCTGCGAGTCCAACAAGTGGCCTTGTCAGATCAAGCGAGTCTTGATTTATGATGCAAATAATGGTGTGGCGGTGGTGTTGCTTTTTTCCTAGTGCTGAATATTTAGGAAGCATCTTCTCATAAAAATTATGGATGTCTCATTCTCACTCTCTGAGGCACAAAACAGTAAATGAACAGGCTTAACTAATGCGCTTGTTACTTTTTTTTTTTTTCTTTTCCCTAAGCAATTAAAAAGGCAAAGGAATAAGTGAAATTTCATCATGCTGACAATATTTTATAATCTCTCTCTCGCTCTTTCTCTCTCTCTCTCTCTCTGCAGTGCTCTCTGGCCACTTGGCAACGGTGCCACAGCACATGTACCTCTCTAAACACCCACTCTGTGGAACAAACCAAACAGCAATCACTGCGGATTCTGCTTTAATATCCCAGCCCAAAAATGCAGATACAAAAGAGCATAAAAACAGTTTAGATGCAGAACAGATTATAGCCTCCTAGCACTTGCCCTCCGAGACCTGCTAGGGTTTCTCTGCTTACTGATAATTTCTAGGTTACTAAAAAGTGCTGAAATTATGGTTGTGCTTAAATTAAAATATAGTCACTGCCTTGTAACATGTGCTGAAAGGGAACAGGCTCCCCAGTTTCTTATTTTTCTTAAGAGAGAAAAAAAATTGTATCTCCACGCTAGGTGGCCTGGGGTTGCTTATCCAGTGCCTGAGATTCAAAACAAAGCAACAAATACCGTGATCAATTGCTTCATCCCACGTTTGCAGAGGAGCTTGCAAAAACAGCTCTGCAAAGCTTTAAGTTCATCCCCTAACACTGGTTGAACTGCCTCATTTGTCCAAGCTCAAAAAAAAAAAAAAAAAAAAAAAAACCATCCTAGGGCACAACAATTTGTTTTACAAGCTTGAACAGAAGCTTTTGGGCTTTCAAAGAAATGCACCGAAGGCTGAAGCCGTAGCAAGCAGCTTTGGAAACACAGCTTTGAATCTCCAGAGTGAGAAAAAGAGAGAGAAAGAGACCCAAGGAGTTTAAGCTAAATCCTGTCCATCCCACTGACAGTGCTACACCTCTGCTCAACCACTGCTCCAGGTTGGCCTCAACCCATTGCTGCTCTAGCTTAGCTCACCCAACCACAGTCACACAGCAAAACACCTTAACTCGCCTCCAAACCAGAACGTGCATGCATTAAATAGCAGCTGACACCTCCCAATTACTTAAGCAATGATCCTTAAGCTAACGAGTCACTAGTGGCCACTAAGGGCTTGCTCGGCAGGTCAGCGCCCGGAGCAAAGCCAGGGAGCTTCTACAGCCCAGTGAAGAGCACTGGTGGTCCTTGCTCTTGGATCACCGCTCCCGCCAACTGCAATTAGGGGTTCATTAGAGCAGTTCTGTGCAGGCGTGAGTGTGGCAGGCCCTGAGGATGGGACCTTAGTTCCTGAAGAAACAAACATGGCCATTTTTGGAGCCTAATAGCCAGTGTTCCACTAGCTGCAATGGAGGGCGTGAAGCCACCAATTTTTTACGCTTCCATCTTTGCACGGGAGACAAAGATTGGAGTGAGTATTTCGGAGTTGTGGCTTGGCTTGAAAAAGAAAGAAAGAACAAAATCCAAACAATAAACAACCCCATAAACAAAAGGAAAATAAAAGGGAACATCAAAGGAACGATAGCCCCTGCTAGTCTTTTCTCAGCCTTGCTCTGCTGGTGAGCAAAGCCCACCCTGCTGAGAAAAAGAGAGCACTGAGGAAAAACAAAATAAAACATAAATAAATAAAAAAAAAAAAAAAAGCAAGACAACAACTAAGGAAAGTCCGCTCACTTCCTAAGAAAGCCCTTCGGCTTGTTTCCCCCTACCCGCAAGAAAACACTTAAAGCCAGAGAAATACTGCAGAGCAGAACATGGTGCAGGGCAGAGCACATCCAGACAGGCAGGAGCCAGAGCAGAGTGCGGGGAGGAGGGCGAGGGACGATGCTCTCAGTGATAGGGCAGGTCTGGGAACAGCCAGGGGAGGCAGGCGGATGGAGGGAGAGGGAACAGAGACGTCCCGACACTCTGAGACAAACGCCACCCCCCCCCCGCCCACCCCACCATAAATAAAAATCAAATAAAATATACACCAGTGCAGTCCATGAGGAACTCCAGGACGAGCTTGCGCAAGCGAGGAAGCAGGCTGGGATGCCAGTGGCGACTCAGATGGGAATGAAGGAGAACACAACAACAACGACGACAACAATAACAAAAAAGTTACGTCCGACCAATGGAATAAAATAAAATAGGTCACATGGTTAGAAATCATTGGTGCTTCCTAGTATCTAGTAGCAGATTGCTTCCCAAAAACAACAAAAAAAAGTTTTTGGTCCTTCTCTATATATATGCATATATATATATATTTATGTGTGTGTGTGCGTGCATATATATATGCATATATATTTAGTTGCAACAGTGCTTCTCCGAAAAAAGGTCCATCTATAAATATAATTTTATTTATTTTTATTTTTAATTTTTAGTTTTTTTAAGGTTAAAACTCTCCGTCTCACTCTATGTATTATTTTTTGAATGGCGTTAACCTGCTGAAGTTTTGCCAGAATGGTGACTGGCTGCGTTTGGGTTCGGTGAACTCGAAGACCTGGGCCTGGGATATGCCATCTGTCACCATGTACTGTCCCTGATTTAATGGATCCTGGGGTGGTGGGTAGGCTGGAGGAACCGACCTGGAGTAGCTCACACCTGCATCGATGATTGGGGGGAAAAAGAAACAGATCAGTCAGAGTGCAGTTGGGTCAGTAGCCGTTCTTCGTCATGCTATCGCTCCCCAACCAGCAGGGTCCCGAGCAGTGGGCAGCGGTGCTAGAGACGGCAGCTCTGCGGACGACGGCAGCGCCTCCCTCATGCCTCACCTTGGCGGCTCCCTACACTAGGCCACGCGCTGACGAGCTGCCGCAGACAGGCACCTCAGTGGGGCAGAGCGTGGTGGCCCTCCTGGAGAGGTCCTGCCTTTCCGCCCGAGACGCGGGGAACATCCCCAGCTGGGCAAAGGCAGCCAGCCGCGTCCTTCAGCCCCGTGTTGCGACACTCGTGCACGTCCCCCCGCTCCCCTTGGGGAGCCGCTCAGGCCCCGGCTCCTCTCAGCCCTGACAGCAGGAGTGAGGGCAGCCGGGGGTCTCCCTGAGTGACCTTGGCAGGACTTCTCCACAGGGTTTCCTCTAGGGTGCCTCCTGGGAAGGGCGACGTGCCCCTCTGGCAAGCGCATGGGGTGAAGCCTTCCTGCAGGCGGGAGCAGCCCCTCACTGCGGAGAGAGGACAGGGGGGTCTTTCCCATGGGAGAATCATGTTGGAAGCGCGCCTGGAGGTCACCTCATCTGCGCGCACACTAGGGGGGACAACCTCGGAAGGGGCAGGGTGGAAGGAAGAGATGGATGCAGGTTGCAGTTAGCCCCAGCCATGGCTGCACTGCCTCCATGGCACCCTGTAGTGTTCTTCTCTCCATGGGGAAGCTGGTTGACTTTGCCTGGGCACCTCCAGGTGACTCTGCCTGCTCTGGCGGTAACTCGGGCGCCGGGTGACTCTGCCCGAGTAGACCAGCGTCCTCCTCCTCTGGAGAGCGGGGCAGCACGACCCACCTACCTCACACGAGGGTTGTGAAGCCTAAATTAATTAATGTTTGTAAAACACTTTGAGATCCTCGGCTGGGAAGGTGCTAGAGAAGGCAAAATACGGTGATTAGCGCCCAGGTACCACAGCAAGGTGAGCAGGAGAAATGCGCCGCCCTGCATGCGGGCAGCGCTCCCTACGCGCACACGCGCCCGGCGCCCGGCACAGCAGGGCTGCGCGCGGGCAGGTACTTACAGCCAGGGCACAGGCCTCACAAAGGGCGCTCGCCGCCTTCGGCCGACCGCTTTTAATACACTGCCGCACTCAAATCCACCAGCTCTCTTTGATAAGAAGCTAAGGCTTTCGCATGGCAGGAGAGAGAATTAATTTGCTTCCCTTGCTTCAGAGTTTACCAATCGCCACTTGTTAGAAAGCCCCAAAGGTTCAGGCTGAACAGAAATACCATCCTGACTCTGCTTAACTGCTTTCTTTATCTTTACAGCAAATACTATCAAGCCATGCTGCTCTCTGTCCACCATAGGGAAGAGGGACAAAACCTGCTCCATGATTCATTACTTATCAATCTTTCATGGGCTCATCACAGGTTACATTTCAAAGTTGGTTCAATCTAGGGATTTGTTTGTGTCTGCATTCTGAAATCTGAGCTTTGTCATCATCTAGTTTTCCGCGTTTTTACCTTGTAAAGCTCTCCATCTTTCTTAACCTCCTCTTTCCCACAAGAAGCCTGCCAAGCAGGACACAAACTCCATGGAGTCCTTGCTGCTCTGAGGACAAATCCAGATGGATTTGTCATCTGGATCCAGATGGATTGCCCCCACATGCCTTGGACAGTTTCTGGACCATCCTTGTGGCTGGGCCCAACTGTAAACTCCAATTTGCCACCCTGTGTGATCCAAGCCAATGATGTCCCATAAAAACAGGACACGAGCTCACCTCCCTCTGCCTCCTCTCTTCTATCCCTTCTTTTTCTACCACTTTCTGCTCTGGGTTTGCCAGAGGGCAGTTCAGCAGGTGACCAGGGTAACCAGTCTACTCTGGAGAGCAAAGTCTATCCCTGCACCCTTACTACAGTGTAGACACACTACACACTACACACTACCTGGGGACCACCAGGCATTAATGCTCTGGGATTACCATTTTTCCCAGGTGAGGAAAGGTTAGAGAGGTCTTTGTGGAGATCAGGATCTGTAATGGATCCCTTATGCGGTTGGAGTTGGGAAATGTATCTTCTTCTGTCTAGTAATTGGCTTGGATCCTTGGCTGACCCAAAGGACTTTAATGGGAAATAATCCTTATGCAATCAGGGTTATTAACTAATATTCCACAACACAAAAGAGCTGTGAATCTAAAGCTGCTATTAATGTAACAATTGTCTCTAGCTATGTAAGACCTTAAAATCACATTCTTTAATGACATGGCCCAATGGCTTTCGCACTGCTGCAGAAGAGCAGTCTCGTGATAGATCCAGTTTTCCATGCTGAGCAGGCCTGAGCGCTTTATTGTCACTGAACCAATTTGTGAAGAGTGAACTTAGGTATTTCGATCATGACACAGAAGTGCTGAGAAGCCTCCTGGATCAGCAAAATCTTATGAGCTTGGAGGGATGAAGAAGTGGAGGAAGAACAGCCTCACTGAAGTCCACTGAAATCCATGGAGTCATGCTGCAAAGCATGTATTCCATAGTCTGCCTTCTCCAAAAAAGAACAAGGCAGACTCCCCTGGCCAGATCACAAGCAACCCCCCATGGGAGCATATATGTGCCCTTGGAGCATAACTGCATAGACACTGCCTCTTTCCTCAGTAAAGAAACTTAGACCTACACTTGCCAAATCGTTTATGTGGCTCTGCTCAAGGCCTAGGCCTTTGGTATTAATATCTCAATCAGATGAACCTCAAAAGCTCCCAGTTGGTTCTACTTGAATAAGCAGCCAAAGGTTTGCATATTTATCAAGTGCATCCCCTGCCTAAATTATCCAAACTCTGCATTTCAATCGCATGCATAACTGCTGTGCATTTGTGGGCATGCAAATAAAAACATTTGTGCTCTGGAAAATTAGGTTGCTAAATCCATAATAATACATTTTCTCATGAAATTGTCACCTAGCTCTTTGCAGTAGCTAGAAATGCCACAAGAAGGGCTTTTAGAGATACCTGCTAGCTTGACAAGGTGAGCTACAGGAATTATGCAGTGAGAGGAGGAGGGGAATTCACCCAATCTAAACACCTTCAAAGCCTGAGAAAGAGGAATTCATGGGAAAAAAAAGTGCTGTGGCAGGTTGATATTTTTGTATTCTTTGCTGAAGTGGCTTGTTCCCTCATCAGGACTCAGGGCTATTGTGCAAAATCATCTCATGAGGGTTTTTTTCTATATGCAAAGCCATAACTCCACTGCAATTCGGCTGAAAAAAAACCAAGCAAAGCTCTTTTCCAATGCAATCTTGGGCTGCTTGGTGAACAGAATCCAAAGCTCAAAGGAGACGAATCGATAGCTAAGTAACGATTTCTCGACACAGCTGCTGTGCTGCCTTTGCTGGGCCTGAGAAGCAGCCACACACCAACGCCCAGACCTGGAGCTCCTTCTGCTGGTTCCTCCATAATTCTGCACTGTGGCCGAGCGCGAAGCTTGCTGCTGCACTGCGAGCTTGCTCAGTGGGGAAGGGATTGTGGAAAATCTACTCCAAAGGAGCAAAAAGAAAACTCTGGGCTTTATAATCTGGCTAGACAAAATTGGCAGGGAGAGATGATGCACTCTCAGCTGAAATCATGGCTTTTTTTAGTGCCAGACAACGTCACTTTGAATCATCCGGCTTTCTCACATCAGGAAAACAATTGCAAGAGTTTAAGACTGTCTCTTTTTTTCCTTCTAATTCCATTTTCTCAAAGCGTCTCTCATCCTTGGATTTACCCTAGGATCCCCGAGCAATATTTCCAATAGGAACGAGTACTGGAAGACCTAGGAACGAGCTATTAATCCCAGGCATCCCACATGGACATGTGCTGACAGACCCAGTTATAATCTAGGACAGCTCCATTAATGCTGCGTTGTGCCAGAGTTAATACAAAACACACAGAGAACACACTTATATTTGCCAGTATACAACCACAAAGCCTTCCCTTACAAGATGTTTATTCTATCCCCAGGCTGTTAAGATTTTATCTCATGCTTTTGTGAACTGTTTCATAGGCTTTTCTTCTAGCTACCCATCGATACATCATGCTGTTCATTAGCCAGGGTTAGGTGGGAGGTAATAAAAGATCAATACCTGCTCCCTGTACCTGGGACTTTCCTAGCAGCAAAAGAAGCTGTGCCACACTGGGAACTTCTCACTTCCCTTTGCTCCCAAAAGCAGCTAGGGCAGCTTGCATCTCTCCAGAAGCATGCTCAAAATTCCCATAAATCCACCCTCCTTATGGATACCATAGCTCAAATGCAATGTGGGGCAGCAGGGAACGCACCTCCAGGACACTAGGCATGGTAAGCTTAAATACTCCTGCAGGAGCGACAAGCCAAAGGAAGACCAAGAAGTGGTTGTGGCTGAACACCCCTTTGTCCTTCTTCAGTACATTTCAACAGAGGATCTCAAAGCACCTCAGCACTGCTCAATCAGTTGTGATCTCAGGTAGAGTTGGCCAACTATTCTGTGCCCGATAGTACTTCTGCTCCCCGACTGCAGAACAAGCTTTTAGAGCAAGAGCTGTAGTGAGGAGCTGGGGATAGGGAATGCTGATAGGACTGCAGGCAGCAGTTCTGATCTGCCTCCTGCCTCCTTGTTTTCACCTGCAAGCTGAGCTGCCCAGCTCAAGTTTTGTCACCCTTGCCCAGCTCAAGAGGAATTCAAGAGATGCACTAGCCATGGCTCCTTAGACAGCAGGGGCATTTACTCAGCAGTTTTGCAGGTACCTGCTGATGAGCACGTGCCTCAGCTCCCTTCTCTAACCACTAGTCTTCCTTCTCCGTTTGGAAAAGGAAGGGAAAAGGGCCAACTGCTCCTTCAGGGGGGACCTTGCAACCTTCAGAAATATGATAGAAGGATGTTCTTTTGTCTTAGCTAATGCACAGCCAAATGCAGTACCTACGAATACTGAGGGAAATTCACCTTCTGTAGTATATTTATCAAGTCGGGTACTGCATCCTGGTGTCATTAAACAAGATGTTAAGATAATGATTCCTCATGTGATAAGCAAAAGCTAAGTGAGGCACGATAGAATAAATGGTAGCAGGGCTTTATCAATCAAAGACAGGTGAAAACTAATTTATCCCATCTCCTCCAGTGCTGAGTACGCTGATAGCAAAGATCACTCCATCTATTTCATCGATACGAAGAGGTCACTTTATCCATCACTATCCTGAAATGCAGCCTCTTCTGGGCTGAAGAAATGCACTGAGCAACACTATTCCCTATCTACAATACCACACTGAGCTGAAACTCCAGAGGAATCTGGGCTGACAGATACACTGAAGTTGTTTTCTCAACATGACATTGGTATCAACACCTAGACCCTTCAAATAAGGGCTTGGGAATTGCTGGAAAAAAAAAAGAGGTCCATTTCACATCTCACCACGAGGAACAAGGAACCCTCTGGAGAAGTTGCTCAGAGGCACGTGCCCATTGAGAAGGCACTAATGCCAATCTCAAACCTCTCATACTCAGGAATTTATTCCCGAGATTTGCTTAGTTTGTTAAGTTGACCAAATTTCAGATGAAACTACTGTTTCCGATCAGGCCAGTAATTACTCCACTGAAAAGCCATCTATCTAGATGATCATCAGTGAGACTAATGGGTGCTTTGATGAGCCCCACATAGTCACTGCATAATCACCACAGTTGTGTTTTGGAGCTTCTGGTTGGGGTCTCTAACTTACAGGTGATGGGATGAATACTAGAATTTCTCTGCATCCATGGGGAAGCAGTACTTCAAACATGGTCAGCTCTATCCTTTCACCTATGCTGTGGGAAGCTTTGTAAAAATGGGGCTAACGACCTTGATGATTATCTGAAAATGCAAATGCTCCCCCTTTGTTTTATAGAGCTTAGTTTATATGTTGCTCAGTCTCTCTCATTCCCCTTGGGCTATGTCTACACGTGAGAATGGGGTGGGGAACCACATCAGGGCCCTGTCAGTCTTGCTAGAGATGAAAACACAGTTGTGTAGGCTTCAGGCCTCAGGAGAAACTACAGGAGGTAACTAGAAACCCTGGTCCCCAGCAAGACCTGTCCTTTCTGGTCAGATAAAGCCAGCAGAGATACCATAGCACTCAGTCATCTTGTCTTCATTTTGCTAGGCAGGTTGACTGTGGGACAGCGTGAACTGCAAGAGGTTTGAGATATCTGAGAGAGGGTGTCGGGGTCAGGGCTTTTACGGGTGATTTAACCACAAGCTCCAGTCATCGGAAGGGAAGAAGTTAGCGGGAAAATGCAGTGACTCAGAGCAAGTTTTACTGGAGGCCCAAGCTGGCTGAAGATTTAACCCCTAAGCATAGCTGGGTGTTCACAGCCAGGCTGAATGACAAAGCTTAGCATCCATCTGAGCCCAAGGCTGGCTTGTGTGGTGATTGAACGTGTGTTTCTCTCCCACCAGGAGTACTCAGACCATCAGCCTGACGACTTGCGTGGGTTGGGGGCATCTCCTTGGGTGGAGCTGCAGCACAGCGCAGATGGACCACGCTGGGCAGAAGGGGATGACCCCTAGCCCGGGTTTGCATTGCTCTCCTGCGAGGGGTGAGCCCTCATCTAGCACTTTATCCTGAGGTCTCTCGTATGACTTGGAGCAGCCATTTCACACCGAACTGGACACACTCACGGGAAGCATTGCTTTGAGATGAGGATCACTTCACTAGGCACTGCACCCTCTGGTTCCTGATAGTTTCTAGGACTGCAGGCAGAAAAGCTTTATGAGCTCAAAGGAGGGAGATGGGCTACGTGCTGTGCTGTGTGGGGACATATGGGGACATAGTTGGGCATCTGGTAAGGGACTGAATGCTTCTGAGGGCTGCAGACACTGAGCACTGCAGCCAAGACTAAAAGTGGCTATTGGATGGACTGAGGCACTAAAGTACTGGAGCCTGGTGTTTCCAGACACTTAGAGATGGAAACTGTACCCTGCATAATCCTGGCTCTACATTAAAGATGGACTGGAGGTCCACCAGGGATCCACTTCCCAGGCAACTTTAGCCTGGTTTGCACTGTTTTAGTCAATTGTAAGTGTAATTTTGGAAGCACAGCCTGATGGGATCTTAATGTCTCGCTTGTCAGTGCGGGCAGTAAAGGTCCTCAGCAGCAGCTGGACTTATCTGCAGAAAAAGTGCACGCTTGATTGTCTGTAGCTTAAAAAAGATCGTGGGGATTTTTGTTGTTTTTGCAAATAAAGCCAAACAAATCTCTTATTTTGCTATTTCTAGGAGACACCAGGCTGAATTCTATTCCAGTTACCACACTGACATTGAAAGAAGGTAAAGGGCTGTAGCCAAGAAACAAACTCTTAAAAAATCAATGCAAATAATAATAATAATAATAATAATAAAAAACATAAACCCCATCCCTTTTCACTATCTGAAGCAAAGGAGCACAGCCAACACAACCCATTCACTTTATGTCTAACAAACTTAAAGAAGGCAGAAAATTGGTTTAATGCTGTCTTAAGGCACCTGGTTTAATATCCTTCCCTTTTGCCCAGTGCAATAAGTAGTGTAAACCCTAGTGCCCTGCTGAGATTCCTCTTGCTCACGGTGACAACCATCTGGCCGGGACCCTGGCACTGCTTGCAGCATTAAGCTTTTCCATTTCATCCCCTTAAAGGCTTTTCTCTCTTCCAAAAGTATTTTGTGGTAGGGAAATTACCACCGTTTCCCATCAAATGGGCGGAGGGTACTGAGCTAATCCAGAAACAACTACAACAGATATCCAGCGGCAGAGGAACGAGGCTCTTCCCTTGTCTGAAGGACTGCTGAGCCCTCAAGGGTAGAGGAACAGTTAAAGCCATCACTCCCTGAAAACCGTGTCCCAGGAACCGCCTCCCGACTCTGTGCAACGCTGTGGGAACTCACACTTCTCATGCACTTCGGAGCAAACGGACCCAACAAAGCGCTCTCCTCTGAGTAATGAAACTTCCCTTCATAAATCTGAGATTTTATGGTCAGAGGAGCCTAGGATCATTCCCTCGCGCCACCACTTCTTCACATCACAGACAGAGAGAGAGAGAGTGAAAGAAAGAGAAAGAGAGAAAATAAGAGAGCCACTGCTGGGTAAGAAATAAGTACAGTTAGGCATATTCCACCTGCCAGGATACACATACAGTGATTTAATTGGGAGCACTGGCAGGCATGCTCAGGCACTTTTGAGCTGTGTCAGTCAGTGATCAAACAGGAAATTATTAATTAATTAATAGCTTAATTAATTAATAACTGAACGGTTAAATAGCAGATAACCATTAAAACCGGCTTTGCTACGGCTGCCATGCAAGCCAGGGTGAGGAACCTCCCAGGTGCCGTAATTGCAGTGACGGCCTCCGTGCTCGGCATGCGAGAGGTGAGGGGCACGTTGGCTCAGCTCATTTCCTGAGCGGAGCCCTTCACTACAGGTCCCTGGTGTAGGAGAGGTGTCCCCAGGCACCTTTTAGGGTGCCTGTCTATCTTGAGCTTAGCAAATCTGGCCAGGAGAGCTCTCACGAGAACATTTCAGAGGACAACATAGGAAGTTAGTAGTGAAAAGACCAATGATGATGGAGAGACACAGCAAACCAATGTGTTTACAGTTGGCCTAGCAAACCACTACTGGGCCAGCAAAGCCAGTAGACAACAAATAGGTGAGGCAGAAAGCAAGGAGCTCCTTCAACTACTGCAAAAATAACCCAAAGCCTGCACAGAATGGGGAAGAACCTGCCCCGGGACTTGCAACCTCCAAGACATGATGAGTTTGTTCAAAACCCATTTAAAGGCCTGGGTGTGCCAAGGTACTTTGGTAACTAGTCAATCTGCCTGCGAGTTTGGGGAATCTTGAAAAATGACCTCCCTGCCTTTCCCTCCATGGTTGCTGTTTCCAAACCTGTAGCTGCAGGAGTTATTGCAGGAGATAACTGGCCTTCCAGCCAGTTGCGACTCGGTTTAATTCCCAGCATGGCATTTAATTGGGCAGGGAAATGCATCTGATGTAAAGAGATATATAACACCTGGACTAGGATGCTTTCTTTCCTAGAGCTGCTGCTACTGTGCGGTCCTTAAAAAGTTATAGGTAGCCCACGGAAACATGGGCCTCCCCTTTCCAAACGCAGGAAAAGGGGGGCATCCCTGATCACCTCCAGCATTTTAACCACCTTCCTTTCTTTGGAGGCGGGAGACTTTGGGTCCGAGCAAAGCCCCCTGCCGCCATCTCCGCACTCACTCCCATTTCAGCCTGAGATAAACCCCGGTGTCTGCTCATCCGTGGGGCGGCGAGCGCTTCCTGCCCCCAGGGACAGCGTCCGGGCACCGGACGGGAGACACCAGATCAAATTCATCTCTGGGAAAAATCCCCCTGGTTTCAACCGCGGCAGACCAGAGGTTAATTTGGCCCACAAGATACATTAAGAAAGGATACAAAGCACAAACGGTGTTTTTTATATATATATATAAAAAAAGAAAAAAAAAAAAGAGAGAAAGGGAGGGGGGAATCGAGGGGAATGCTGGATCCCAGCCCAGCAGGATTCAGCCCAGCCCGCTCCACCCTCACATCACCTGGCACAGGGCATGTTGCCGGTTACCTTTTTGCTTACTGACTTTCCTTACTGTCATTGCCGCTTGCCGCTTTTGATTTTCAGAAATTTCAAAGCCTGCAAGAAGGGAACACGGGTCAGAAGGTTGCTTGCACAGCTGCTCATCCTTCTGGAGCAAGGGAGGGATTTTCTGCCCCCTTTTGCCAGCACAGGACCCTGTCGGTGGCAAAGCCTCTCCAGTGAGCTGCGCGCAGGGAGGTGTTTTACTAACAGCAACTCAACCTTGAAAAGCAAAGGCCTCTTTATAATCTCGCTTGTGCAGGGGTTGCATGAAAAGTAAGATTAGACCCATTATTATTTATACAGCATCATAAATATGCCCAGCGCTCTGCAGCTGAGCCACACAAACTGATTTCAGTTACAGCCAATTTACGGGCTGAGGGGAGGGCAGGGCTGGTAAATCATGGACTTCCCTGCCCTCCTGTCCTGCACAAGACTCGCTTCATCAGAGCAAAAACGACACAACCAGGAGGCTCTGAGGTCTTCCTGCTGAAGCCTTCCCTCTCATGCATGACCCACAGAGGTCCACTGGATCCAGCCTTAAAACTATGGGCAGAATTTGTTTGGGATGGGCAAAAATACCAGGTACCAAATGAGAAATATACCTATTTCATGACATGAAGACCAGCCAAAGACATTTGAAGAATTATGAAACATAATCCCACAGTCCTCCCCTCTTCCCTCACCCCCGCAAAAAAAAACAAAAAAAAAAAAAAAGGAAGGGGAGAAGGGGCTTCTTCAATGGTCGGGGCTAAATTTAATATTACCGTTCATCTCTGTTCAGATTCATTTCAGATTCCTCACCTATCTTTTCATCTTCTTGTACCATCTTCCTCTCTTCTCTGAAAGCTCGGAGCCATCGCAACTTCTCCTCCAGTTTCTTGGCAAAGAATAAGTGCATTTCCTCAGTCTCCTTGTTATGAAGTTTGAAGGCATTCTTCATGCTGACATTGAAGTCATCATCTCTCCCATCCTCTATATCCACCACCTCGTACTTATCCATGTCTATGCGACCTTTGTAATACAGGATATCTCTTCGTATCAGGTCCTGCAGAGAAAAAAAGGAGAGCTGGGCTGATTGTAAGGCACTTAGGGGGCCTGAACTCAATGGAAAGTTCATAGGAGGGTTGAAGAAAACAGACAAGTAACGAAGAAATGTGATCAAATCCTTAACACCTCATCTGCTGTGAACACATTTGCTCTTGGCTAAGTGAATAGGGTCGATTACGGGCATAATAGAAGAAATATAAATCCTCATGCTGCAGGATGTTGCTTGCGGGCATGAAGAAATGCCTCTGAGCACATAACGCACCTCCATGCTTTTCCACGGGTTTCAGACGTTCTTATGAAGCACATGCTGTGACCCCTGGTCCACCAGACCAGAAACTAGAAAGTATGGGTCCAGTTGGGCTCCTGTGCTGCAAAAGAGGCAGTGTAGAAGGGCAAAACTTGGGAAATCAGCTTGTGTGTTTGCCTGGAAGCACAAACTTGCTCGTGGTTTAAATGAAACATGTTCATCCTCAGCTGCTTCCCAAGGTGATGGCGCTGGTGCCCTGTATCCCCTGCCAACCATGGAGGATGCTCATGGTATCTGGGACACAGCGTTCGCTGGAGGTAGCACTGAATAGTGCCAGGAGCTCTGTTGAACCACTCCTCATTCTGGTTGCCTCCTTCATAGTTATTTTGGCCAGTTCCATCAAATTTTGTGCAGCATACACATTTTAAAACCCAAATTTTGTAAGAAACCAGGAAGAACCCCTTTCAAGACCCACTCTCCTAACCCAATATTTGGCTGTATGAAAATCACCTAACTTAAATACCTTTTGCTTTGTTAAGAATGCCATAAAGATAAATGTCAGGTCAAAGGATTCATTTAAGAGGAAAAATAGAACAAAGGCACAGCATTCAGTTACTCGAGCAAGATGTAAGAGGGAGGGGTTTTTTTTTAAGATCAGCAGGAAGGAATATTTAAAACAAAACACTAATTTCAGAAAAAGCACATTGTACATCACGATTTTTCAGCAAATTTCCTCATGGGTCTGTCAGGCTTTGAATTGCAATGCAGTCCAAAACAGAGGAAAAGGATTTTTCAAGCTCATTATGTAATTAAAAAGCCCTTTCCAGACGGTGCTAACTTGCAAATTGTTTCTTTCCTCTCTCTCTGCCCCCAAACAGCAGAGTACTGAGAAAAGGCTGCAAAAATCACACTAAATTTGTTCAATGAAATCAATACCAAGCATTGTGCTTAAGTTTCAGTCTTGTATGAGTCCTTAGAAATAGCATTTCTCTTTATCACAGTCTCCAAAATTCTGAACAACAAACATTAGTGGCAGAAAAAAAGAAAGAGATGTGCTTGTTCCATTAGCTCTGCTGAGAGATCTTCCTCCCCCAGAGGATGACACGGACTCACGGCTTAGGAAAACTTCCAGACCAGCCCTAGAAGAGCCTGGCCTTGCGACAGAGGGAGGTGAAGTGGGATCAGCTGCTCCTCTTTGCACCATGCTGATGATTATACTGAGATTTGGCCTTAAAGGTAGGAGGAGAATAAATAAGCGCAATCCATCTAATCTGCTTCTGGAAACACAGCCCTCAGTGCCGTCGTTTTATTCTTGAACCTATTAAATGCATTTTTTTCACTCTCTATCTCTCCAATTTGCATTTAGAAACCACCACGGGTTATTTTTAACTAGGTACCACTAGCAAATAGCTAAGGACAGGCTTAGCAGCTTCACCCAAAGATTAAAAAAACACAATGCTCCATAAAGGTCCAGGACGTTATCCAGGTGCAGGTTGGTGCTCCACACTATCACAGGGGCCTCCAGCTACCATGAGAGAAGGACCCATTGTCCCCCACCTAGTAACTGCAAATTCCTGCCCCTCCAGCCCAGCTTTTTATAGGATCCTTGGCTTTTTGTGCTGTGAGGGAGCACACAAACATCAGAGCTCACTAAGAGGCAAAACTTTGATACCCACGGCATGGGAAGCATCATAAGCATTTAATCCATGGCTATTTGGTCAAAAATGCTCCTGCAGCTCTTGAAGTATAATATATATTATTTAGCTTGCCACTGAGGCAGGGCACCTTCAAATGTGCATCTGAATGTTGCCTTCCTGTGCACCTGCTTTTACTAAAGGGTAAGAAGCTACATGAGACAGGCACCAAACAAGGCCAGAGCTCTGTTTCATGGAAATTCCCGTGCTTGTGGGTAAGAAAGCCAAAATTTGGGGGAAACTTTCGGAATGGGAGCATTGCTGTTTTGCACAGTCAGTGCCAGAGCCTGCAAAGAAACCCACGGTGCTGCTGCAACGTGAACCCTGATGTTCCCGACCCTGTTTTTTGTTGGACACAGGACTATCCTCCCTCTCTTCCAGCACATGAACTGCCTCAAGCAAACACATACAAGGTAGAGGAAAGCAGATGTGGCTGAGGATGGAAAGACTTTAAGTGCTGCATATGAGAGGGTCAAAGCAAATATACGTAAAATGGAGACTTGCTGGATGTATAAATTGCCATAAGGAGCTTAAGGGAGGGTAGAACCCACAGCTGGAACAACGGGCTGCTACTATTCCTGATTATCCCAGGCAAACCACGCTAGGGAACTAGGAAGAAATTACTGAGCTATGTTTAGTGAGGATGAGGACCCAGCTGGATCATGCTGCCTCCTTCTAGCTGTTCTATTAACGTTTTATTTTTTGGGTTTAAACAGATGAAGTACAAGAAAAAGTACAAAGGGAAAAACCCTCAGGGGAGAGGCTGGAGGTGCTCTACCTTGAGAAAACATGGATGAAGAGGAACATGCTACTGCTATTACTATATCTGTAAAATTTTGTAAAGCCAGTGGTTATTCTCCATCTTGATTGTAGCTTCACTTAATTTACCATAAGAGAGGATTAGATAGTTGGCAACAAAACAAAACAAAATAAAACAAAAACCTGTCAGGCTATAAGGACATTTAAGCACCACAACAGCCCAAACAGGAAAGTCTTGGAGATTTCCTTGGAGAAATTTGATGGGAGGACAAAGCAAAGTTTTGACGTGTTACGTAAACCTGCCACAACTCGACTGGCTGCAGTTGCCTCTCTGGAGGGTCAGACAGCAGCGCTGGTGCCCAGGGGGTGGCTGTGTTCAAACCGACAGACCTGTGCGGATCACCCGCCCGGACCATTTTCTCCTTCTCTGACATCAATGTCCCCAGCTCACCGTGCCCTCGTTGAGGGCACTTCCACTAGGTGGGCTTAAAAACAATCCCATTTATGATCGCTCTCAGGAAAGCAAGACTTTAAATGGGAAATATCCAGCCTGCCGATCTGTGGCAATGAATTATCCCCCTACCTTCCGTATCATTGGGCTGGATTTAGTTATCTGATAAAGGTCTGTATCTATAAATCAGACCTGTCAATAAATCTTACCATTAAGGTAACTTTTACTCTCCCTGTCCTTCTGCGTCCCTTTCTCCTGTTGCCCTTCAGCTTTAATTAACCAGCTGCTTTGGGCTGTGAGCATCCCAGGCTGGGCGCTGCCTTTGCCCTGCACGACTCAGACCCTCCCGCGCTGCTGCAGGGCAAATATTAATCCTGAGAGGGACAATCTGGTGCAAAATGACTCCAGAATTAGAATGGGATGCAGGAGTGGGGCACTTGCCTTTGCCGCACTAGGCTGGTTTGCAGCAGCTCTTGGGCTTCTCGCAGTTGAGATCCCAGCAAACTGGGAGGTGGAGGGGGATGCGGCAGCTCCCTGACCTCTCCCCGCAGCAGCCCAGACTCTAGAGGCAACCTGGCCTAATGCATGTGCCAAATAATTTACACCTGGTCCCTCTGCAGGTCTCCAGTTGGTCCCTTGCGCATTCCAAAAGCTCCTCCTTTATATTTCTTTGGGCATGACGTGCAAGGAGAGACTGTGAGGGCTTATGCAAGGGTTATGATTTTAGGATGGCCCATTTTTCCAAGTGCCATGTTTTACTCTATGCTAGGACACACTCTGCTTCCCATGTGCAAAGCAAGTCATCTGTAAAACACAAGCACAGAGCGAGCCATTTGCAGCCCTGACTCATTAGATCTCTTTTATGAGCTGAGGATACAGAAGATGTTGCCCTCTGAATAATCTGTAACAAGCTTCTCATTGCACCTGGATGTTATCAAACCCTCTTATCACCAAAACCTTGCACAGCCCGAAGATAGCTCCAAAATGACCTAGGAAGGAAATGTTATGCCCTCTGCATACAGGATACAGTCAGATCTTGCGAGCTCTGCTCCCAAAGCACTGGCTTGGCTGCACGGTGTCGTATGACTTGCAACTCCTCCATGTGTCCTCCCCCACATCTACGAGGAAATAATGTTATTTGCTTATTTTACAAGGCAATTGTGAGCTGTAATTAAGTAGTCTGTGGAAGACCCATTGAAAGCCTAAGGTGGCCTGAGTGCTGCTGGAGGTAACACCTACCTGGTGACTCTTCCTCTATGGATGGTCGGCTCCATCACCAGCAAAAACCTACAGAATATCAATGACATCTCGGAGGTATTTTCCTCTTGCACGGAGCGTGGGTTACAGTGCAAAGCTACCTGAGGGTTGTCAGGGGGTTTCTCCCCCTCATACTCCTTAACTTGAGGACCTGCATGATTTGGGGAACTTCACTAGTAAAGCAACAGCCCTTGCAGGCACTCTTGGGGCTCATAGCATTACCCAGGCAGATTTGGGTAACAGAGAGCTGGGACTTGCCCTGAAGAACTAGCACCTGAAACAGAACATGGGCAAGGTGGCAAGGCAGCAAGGTGTTCGCTGCCGCAGCAGATTGTTTTTGCCTAGTGGGTGACAGGTTCTTCAGCTACCAAAGGGAAATGGGGATTCCAGGATGAGGCTGAAGAAAGAGATCCTGCACAATTGGAAACTCAGGGATTTGGCCAATAGTTGATGTTACACTGAAATTGGGAAAGACTAAACCAGGGTCTGCAACAGCTACACCCAAAGCCTACCCACACTTTGGAAAACTCTGAGCTGGCCCCTGATTCACTGTGGGTCTCAGACCCATCCCTGGGAATGTCTAGTTGACC